AACAAATACTTATGATTTTTGTCATTGTACTATATTTATTTTATTTTTTTAATTACTACGAAAAATTATTTTTTATGACCAACCAAAATATCGTAATTTTCACCCCACTTTTCGGTCTTAGGGTTGATAAAAATTTTCCAACGGTAAAATATGAGTAAGAATACCGTTCTGAAGATTTTAAAAAAAAAATCAAGTCGATATGTGCAATATTAAAGAAAATAGATTTTCATAGATTTTTGTTAAAATGGAACAAGACCTCGGTCCCGCGCATCTCCGCCCTTCGCGATCGCGCGAAATCGCCCTCCGGGGCGTTTACCCTTTCAGACCCCATGTCCCTCACAGAGGACATTCTTTTATATTAATTCTTATAAAGTTACAAATTGGTTATCATATTTAAAAAATATCTGATCGTCATGGTAATATTGTGATGAATACAAAGAACATAATATTAATTATGTGAGACTTATAATGTATATTTTATAGTAATAAATGTGTACAAAAAATTGTTGTCAACATTTTTTATCAATAGTTGATAACAGAATTATGCTTTTCTTGTGGATGAATTGGTTTTAAAAATCTGAAACTTTTTCTTTGTTATGATAACATTATAGTTCATATGTACGAATCACCATTGTTCCACCAAAACCATTAACCGTGATGTTATAACAGCTGTTATGTATGTCCCTCACAGTGGACATCGGGTTCTTACGGAGTAAAATTATGATAATAAAATATTATGATAACAACATATTATTATCATTATTCATTTTATTATTTTATCAAAAACGTTATTATACGAAATTAGGAACCTAATTTCAAATTTGTTATTACTTATTTATATTTTATGTCGTTGTTAATTGTTATGACTTACGTTGTTTAGTTAGATAGTTATTTGTTATGTTTGAATACTAATATAATATATTATAATACTTATAATAAAACTTATTTTATTTGTATAAATATTATCGATTCCGTTTTTAAATTCTAAGTTGTTTTTTCTATTTATCAAATATCTACACAAGTAAGTAGTAACGTTGGATTGATAATTTTATAACTATTAGGTATGTTGATTTAAAAATATTATTATTATATTATTAATTAGCCAAAGATGAGTTGCAAGTTGACCAATGAGCAGTTGCTTGATATGATGGATGGCATGAATTCAGACTTAGAATTGTCTGACGAAGAAGATGATGAAAACATTGACGACATTGGAATTGCAAATGAACTTGTTGAAAGTGTTTATGGTACAGTTGATGGTGAAGAAGACGATGAAGATGACGTTGATGTATTTACTCCTGATCAACTACTACCAATACAGACACCACCTACTGATGAAGTAAGCATGCCAAATATTGTTACACATACAAATACACCACCAGTACTCAAACAATTTGCAACATTCGCTAAAAGTTCAATCAAGTGGTTATGTAAGCCTATGAAACAAAAAAACATAATTCTGAGAAGTGTTGAGCAAACCGAGTTCCCTAATACCATATCATCACCAATTTCTTATTTTATGAAATATTTTACTGAAGAAGCATTTAATGAAATGGCCATGTACACTAATATTTATGAAGAACAAAAAATTACAAATCAATGGGTTCAAACAACATCTGCAGAGATGAAAGTTTTTGTTGGTATTCATTTAATGATGGGTGTATTGAATTTACCAAGGGTCAGGATGTATTGGCAAAAAGAATTTAGAATTGATATAATTGCTAATAATATGACTAGAAATAGATTTTTTGAGTTGAGAACCCATTTCCATGTCATGAATAATGAAGAAATTCCACAGACAAATACGGATAAATTCATAAAAGTTAGACCTCTGTATAACCATATGAAAAATAGATTTTATCAACTACCAATTGAACAAAATATAAGCATAGACGAACAAATGGTTCCTTTTAAAGGTAAACTTGCTCCAAAACAGTACATGCGAGGTAAGCCTCATCCTTGGGGTATTAAATTTTTTCTAATGTGTGGTTCAAGTGGAACTGTCTATGATTTCATCATGTTTCAAGGTAGTAGTACTGAATTAGATCCTGTTGTTCAAAATCTATTTGGCCAAGGTGGAGCAGTAGTGATGCAATTCATAGAACGTCTGGAGAGAAATAGGCATTATGTGTATTTTGACAATTATTTTACATCATATAATTTATTGTCTGTACTAGCTGACAGGTATATTTATGCTGCTGGAACCGTTAGAGTCAATCGATTTGCTAAACCTCCACTAATAACCGATAAATGTTTATCAAAAATGGGTCGGGGAACTTCTTATGAAGTATCTGGAATAGCAGAAGGCCAAAAAAGTCAAATAGGTCTCTGTTCAGTATTGGCGATCGATAGTGGTCGATCGCCGTTGTCGGCGGCGCAAGATAAGAAAAATAACGAGCTATCGTCTCGATCGGTCAAAAGGCCAGTTATTAGTCTTGGGACAGCTGCGACCGATGCACTGTCTATCGCCAATCTCAAGTGCGTCAGATGAGACCAGTTAATGTCATAACATTAAAATTCAAATGTAGATAATTATAATTGTTAAGTGATTTAGGTATTAGTTAAATCACATCAACAAAAAATTGTTAATACACAAAATATATTTAGTTTTGGTTAAACCTAAATATTAGTGTTTTTGGTTTTTTTTTGTTTTATATTAAAATCTCAAAGTTCTAATTGCCGTGCGCTCGATTAATTGTGATTAAAATCAAATCGATGTACGGCCCGAACATTTGGTCCTTCGAACGCGGATCGCGTGCAGATTGTGCGCGGAATAAGTGAATCAAAGTGGCTAACATGGATTCAAATTGGTGCAAGTGTATGAAGAACACCACTACACGAGGTATTGTAAGGTAAGAGAGCTTTAATTTTCCTTTTTATTAGAACCTAGAATACCGACATAGGGTATTTCCGCCTAAAATAACACGACCACCACACAGTATACACATACAATCATCCAAGAAGCCCATCAAAGTTATCGACAAAATAATAAGTCCCAAACCACAATAAGACAGTATAGGTAATAGCTAGATTAACGTCAGCATATACATAGGTCATAATAATGTACGATAAAGCAACGTCGATAAGCCGGCGCGGTACTATAAAAGGCCGATTAACAAGGTTGTATAATTTCGTACAAAACTTCCCAGAATTAAATGGCGACATAAATCAATTAAAAATAAGAAAAACGACGGCAAGTGAATGCTGGAACGAATTTCAAAAAATACAACAAGAAATCGAACAAAATGCCGAAGATGCACATGTGGAAGAAGCTTATAGGATAGAGGTCGAAGAGTTGTACTTTGATATGATGGCCAGTTGCGAAACATTAGTTGAAAAAATGAAATTGTCGGACGAGACAAACGTAAACGAAGATGAATTCAATCAAAGGTCATCGCGTCAATCAACAACTATAGCTGGAAGGAGTGGAAGTGGCACATCAAACCAAGCATCGATAGTCAAGTTGGCCGCATTAAGTGTGCCAGAGTATAGTGGTGATTATAAGGAGTGGGCCACATTTCATGACATGTTTGTAGCACTAATACACTCGAATGAAGCCTTAACTGATGTACAAAGATTTTTTTACCTAAAATCAGCACTTACCGGGGAGGCGGCAAAAATGATAAAAAGTTTTGAAACATCGGCAAAAAACTACACCATAGCATGGGAATGTCTAAAAGAGCGATATAATAATAAACGCATTTTGGTAAAAAATCATACGAAAGCGATTTTCGACTTAAAACACATAGACCAAGAATCATCTGCGAAATTAAGATACTTCATTGATTCGCTACAAGGGCACAGAAAAGCATTAGAAGCGTTAGGTTACGAAACAAAAAACTGGGGCCCACTTTTAGTGCATATAATTCTGATAAAATTAGATACAGCCACGTTACGTGAGTGGGAGACTCAAGCTAACAAAACGGAAGTGTCTGAAGTAGATGAGTTAGTCGAATTTTTGCAAAAAAGATTTCAAATATTAGAAGCAGTTGAAGGTGTTCAAAAGCTAAATATCAAAAACGATCAAAAAGGACATCAGTCCTCATCAAAATCAAAAAAAAATGATGGAGCAATGTTTCAAAAAACAAACTTAATGCACGCAACGACTACTAAATTAAAATGTTACGTATGTAACGAAAGCCACCCAATTTACCGTTGCCCAACATTTTTAGTGCTGTCAATTCCCGAACGAAAACAAAAAATTGACCAATTAAAAATTTGTGTCGTTTGTCTATCGAAACACGCTGAAAATAAATGTAAGTTCAAGGGCTGTCGTAAATGCGGCGATAAGCACAATACATTGTTGCACACGACCGTTAATGATGATAACAGCGAACCCACAGCATCGACGTCAATTAACGCTCACGCAGCAGGTAACGTCGAACATACGCACGTTTTACTGTCGACGGCTATTATAAACATAAGAGGTAAATCAAACGAAATATTTTGCGCCCGAGCGCTACTCGATTCAGGATCACAAAGTAATTTTATTACGCAAGAGTTAGCGCAAAAATTACAGCTAGATCGAAAAAAGGTAAACTTTGCAATCACTGGGATCGACGGGGCAACGAATCATGCACATTTTTCAGTAACAACAGCAGTGCAATCGCGAACTACGGCATACAAGGAAACACTCGAATTTTTAATATTACCAAAAATAACACCTAATCTACCGATAAAAAAAATAAAATTAGCTAACTCAAGCATACCGAACTATGTTAAACTCGCTGATCCGTCGTACACTGAACCTGGAAAAATCGATGTTCTAATAGGCGCGGAACGTTTTTTCGAAATATTGAAATCTGGCAAGTATAAGTCATATGAAAACGGCCCAGTGTTCCAGGAAACTGAGCTAGGGTGGGTCGTAGCTGGACTAATTACCGAAAAAACAACAGCTAACGTACACACATTTGTCACGCATACAACAAATAAAGAAAATGTTGATCCGTTACAAAACCAGTTGGCGAAGTTTTGGAATCTTGAAGAAATCGCGACAGCAAACCATCACGATCAGGATGAAAAACGGTGTGTCGAGCATTTCGAAAATACCGTCAAAAGAGGTGACGACGGAAAATTCATCATACAATTACCAGTAACAAAAGAAGTGGAACAATTAGGTGATTCACGAATAATCGCTCAAAAACGATTTCTTGCGTTAGAAAATCGGTTGCGAAGAGACCGCAAGTTGTACGAAGGTTATAAAGAATTTATAAACGAATATTTGCAACTTGGTCATATGGAAATTGCTCCGTGTAAGACGATCACAAATTCGAACACGCAATCGTATTTTATGCCGCACCACGCTGTATGCCGTGACAACAGTCTCACGACAAAAATACGTGTGGTATTCGACGCATCATGTGCAACCTATACTGGTTTAAGTTTGAACGACGTGCTACTTAAAGGACCCGCTATTCAAGATGAGTTAATCTGCATTGTGTCCAGATTCAGAACACATAAATACGTACTGTCAGCTGACATAAAACAAATGTACAGACAAATATGGGTATCCGAAAAAGACAAAAACCTACAAAAAATATTATGGCGATTTAAACCTGACGATGAGATTAAAGAATATCGATTAAAGACAGTGACGTACGGCACAAAACCGGCATCATATATAGCAACAGGTTGCTTAAAAAAATTGTCAGATGAATACAAAACGCAATATCCAGTAGCAAGTGAAGTAATAGCAGCCGATTTTTATATGGATGATTTATTAAGCGGAGCAAACTCATTAGAGGAAACAATTACACTACGTAATAATTTAATAACAATATTACATAGTGCGGGACTACAATTAAGAAAATGGGTAGCTAATAAATCGCAGGTATTAGCTGACATTGCTAACGTTGATAATGACCCACTGCGAGTATTGAATTTAGATAACAGTCCGATCAAAATGCTCGGACTATTCTGGAACCCGCACAACGACACTTATGAATATAAGGTCAACGACCCGTCACAACAAATTACGTTAATAACAAAACGAACAATATTATCAAACATCGCGACGATATTCGACCCTCTTGGATTAATTGGTCCGGTAGTTATAACGGCAAAAATAATTATGCAAAAATTGTGGCATAAGGAAATTAACTGGGACGAACAATTACCATTGCCGATATTAAAGGAATGGGATGAATATTGTAAAGAATTAGTCAAAATAGAACAAATCGTAATTCCAAGGCGAATAATCGGTTGCGATGATTACGTAAATATACAAGTTCACGGATTCGCGGACGCATCAACAGTAGCATACGGTGCGTGTATATACCTACGAACAACCGACCGCGCGGGTAAACATTACACGCGTCTAATAATAGCAAAATCCCGCGTTGCTCCGTTAAAAACGATCTCTCTCGCGCGATTAGAACTATGCGCAGCGGTGTTATTGGTGCGCCTTACGCAAAAAATAATTCCAAAATTACGCCTAAACATTACGCAACAATACTACTGGTCTGATTCGTCAATAGTATTAGCGTGGATAAACGCACCATCGTCGCGCTGGAAAACTTTCGTGGCGCACCGAATCGGAGAAATACACGAAGCCACGTCTAGTTCGCAGTGGAGGCATGTAAAGTCGGAAAACAACCCTGCGGACATAATATCCCGCGGTTGCACTCCCAATAAATTATGGAATAACGTTTTGTGGTGGGAAGGCCCGCCTTGGATAAACAGTAACGAGGACGAGTGGCCACAAAATATGCTAGAAATAAAAATAACTGAAAATGAAATTCCAGAAAAACTAAAGAGTGACGTAGTATCAATAGTCGCGATTGACGAAATGTCAATAATAGAAAAATATTCGTCGCTATCAAAACTATTACGCGTGGTAGCTTACATCATGAGATGGAAAGGCCGCGTGATTAACAAATTACAGTTCACAACAAGAACGATAACATTGGACGAGTTCAACGACTCAAAGGAAAGGATAATCAAAATCGTACAAAAACAACATTTTAGCAAGGAAATAAATTGCTTAAAACAGTCTCAAAACGTATCTAATAAAAGTATGCTACGGTTTTGGCGGCCGTGGTTAGATAATAATAATATCTTAAGAGTGGGAGGTCGACTAAATAAAGCCGAATCGATATGTAACGACAAACGAAATCCAATTATATTACCCGAAAAGTCAACGCTCACAAAATTAATATTTGAATTTGAACACCGTCGACTATTACACGCCTGGCCACAAGCTTTGTTAGCCGGGATACGAGAAAAATATTGGCCAATGAATGGAAGAAACCTTGCAAGAAAAATCGTACACAAATGTGTACGGTGTTTCCGTACAAAACCAATAATATGTCAACCTATTTGTGGAGACCTACCAAAGGATAGAATAGAACCAGGAAGAGCGTTTGAAGTTTGCGGAGTAGATTACGCGGGACCGATCTTAGTAAAGTCGAGTTTACGGCGAAATGCACAGCCCACAAAGGGTTATATTTGCGTATTTATTTGTTTCGCCACCAAGGCAGCTCATCTTGAGCTGGTGGGAGACTTAAGTACTAACGCATTTTTAGCGGCACTAAGAAGATTTTGGTCTAGACGTGGACCAAGTAAAGCAATTTATTCAGACAACGGCACGAATTTCGTAGGCGCGAATAGACAATTACAAGAACTGCGTGATTTGTTTCTGTCTGATCAACATAACCAGCGACTTCAAGAAGTGGTTAATGAAGTAGGAGTCCAATGGAAGTTCATTCCTCCTCGCGCTCCCCACTTCGGAGGATTGTGGGAAGCAGCCGTAAAATCGGTAAAGGGACATTTACGCAAAATATTAGGTAACGCAATGCTAACGTATGAAGAATTGTATACTGTGTTGGTGCGTATCGAGGCTGTCTAAATTCACGTCCGATCGTCCCCCTCTCATCCGATCCTACAGACTTACAGGCTCTGACGCCGGGTCGCGAAATTTTAAAACGTGTCACGGCGCATTCAACCATCCGACCATCAGATATCAAATATATGATAAGTGATAACAAGTTAATATTGATAACATATTTCAATTATGGTAATTTTTGCATTTGATTTTAAATTTTGCTCAGTGTAAAAAATAATAAATATGTTTATTCAGTTCATTCAACCATTCAAGTATACAATTGTTCTGTATAATAAATTATAATTATATTATGTTACTGCATAAAATATTAAACAGTAGTTTGTCTATTTTGTTTCATTGAAATTAATAATTAATAATTCAAAACATCAATAAAAAGTATAAGTAAAAAATAATAAAAATAAAAATTATATTATAATCAATAATACTTTGTATAATATCTTGATGTGCCAAAGCCAATTTATAATAGTCAGAAATTAATAATATTAGATATATAAGTTTATTTAGCATTATGTGTTGCTCCTAGTCTTTTATTCTGTTCAACACAATAAGATAAATTGTGTGGCATTTTTTGTGGTTTCAGATGAACACTTTCAGAATTAAATGATTTTGGAATATGTGGCAGAACACTAGAATTAGGTTGGCTCCCATAACTGTGTTCTGGAATGCGTTTCCACTTGGGGACCCTTCCTGCAGCTAAATTTTTTCTTCCTTTAATGGCAGTTTTACGCCTGGATCTAGCTGTAGGTTGTGTACCAATGCGCTTGTTTCCAACTAATTTAAGTGTCTTGGAAGTTGGATCAAGACCAGAATATTTACCAAATGTCATCATAGCAGAAAGAAGACTAGCATGAGTCTTTACATTTTTCTTGAATGAATTACTCATTGCTTTAATACCAGGTGTGAAGTAGCTTTCATCTGATTTTATGACATCTCTCATTTTTTGTACCATCTCATCAAATATTTCTTGACCATCGCCAACAGTTTCACTTGCATTGGTTTCCATGTTATCATTTTCTTCAATTATAACTTCATTCGATATTGTATCTTGTTGAACAAAATTCATATTAATATTCTGTTTTGAATTCTTTTCAGTATTTATTAACAAAGATTGAGGTTGCTTGAGAATTGAACCATACCACCCATTTTCAATTTCTGAGCTTCCAGTGGCGATTATATGCAATTTTTTTCTAGTTTCTTCATTAGTTGGTAAACAAAGCGTAAGATCCACATTTAGGCTGGATGCTACAAATATCTGGTGCTTGCAAGGTTTACCAGTAGAACCTTCTGGACAAGAACAAATCCCTAAATCCAGATCAATATTGTATACTGTGTTTTTATAATTATTTTTCACTTCATATATCGATTCCAAATATTTAAATTCTAATTGTTCTCTTTGAGAGTCAGTTAATATAAATTTTTTTTTTAAATATTGTGCAGGGCGATTGGCTGCAATATCTAACAACTTCATTTCGTAAAATGCATCAATATCGTTGACGATGAAAAAAAATAACTGTACAGGAGAATATGCTTTTGTTCTGTCAAGTATTGTATCTTTTACAATCTTAACTCCTGCTTCACAGATGTTATTTGTGTTTTGTCCACGTGTAATCAATCTCTTTCTTAAACAAAGTGCCCATTCATTACGTCTCTGAAATAAACCTACTACAAAAGTCTCAAACCTAGAATATTTTTTTGTCAATTCGTCATTTATAACTTCATGGTAAAACATTTCTAATTCTTCAAAAGTTTTTGAATACAACATTTTTTTAATTTTTTTATAAAAAATTTGACGATGCTGTAAAATTATGCCATGATGAGAGTCCCATAAGTACCGCCAAGCTGCCTATAATTAAAGATGCCATATGAATTAGTATTTTAGAGTTAAAGTTCTTGGATTTTCTACTTTAAAAATGGTTGAAGCTAATTTAAAGCATATAAGAACTAAAAATAATAACAGTTATATTATATTTTACATTCCTACCTGTAATACGTGGAATATGCACAATAGAAGAGTTGATTGTGGAAAAGCTTCACGTAGTGAGTTTCTTTCCACCAGCACAACTATTTGTATAAATTAGGAAAACTTTGCTCCCATATCGATCAACATTTCCAGAAGCATCAATGAATAATATTTCTCCACTTTCATCCACACCAGAACTTATTCGTTTCATGAGTGGACTTGCTATAGCAATAGCAAAGTTTCCATCCTCAAGGGTCTTCATTAGGGCACAAGTAGAACTACATTCATCATTGTATTGGTCTACAGCATTTTTTAGCGAGTCCATCATTGGTTTACCATGTGACGCACCAAAGTGTTTATTAAAAGTTTTATAATAAAGATTATATACCCATTCTGGATTTGGAAGTTCTCCACGGTCACCAGCATAGACATAATAATTATTTCCTTTTTCTATTCGTAGTTGTGTTTTAAAAGAAAAAAGAGCTTTTGCTGGTGTTTTACCCTCCTCAAAATATTTTAAAAATGTAGCTTTTACATCTTCAGAAGGTTTTCTATATTTCAATACATCAGCTCTCATAATTTCATGATTATGTATGAATTTAAAATCAACAATTGCTTTGGTATCTTCAATTAGCACATTTTCATAATCTTCATCACTGAGAAAAAGAAAACATTAACTATAAATATTTGAAAATATTGCATATTATTAGTTTTGTTGTACTAACAGTTGTTCCATTTCATTTTCAACAATTTGTATGCAAATTGTAGATTTACAGTTAAAATGTTTTGGACAGGGTGTTGCATTTTTCTTTGGCCTTGTGTTATGATGACAACGATACCTTTTCTAAAAAAGTTATACAAAAATTGCTATTTAATTAGCTTTAGACTTTATAATTTATAAATAAAAATAACGTATGTAGGTACATGACTCAAAATAACCGAAGGAAGAGAAAGAGTTACTTTTGTGACATAGTAATAATTAATTACCTTAAACAGAACACTTGGCAATTCAGATTTTCTTACATTTGACACTAAATAAGTTGTTTTACTTTTTTGATTCAATTTCAATATCCATGATGAAATATCATCATACTTAAATTTATATATTTCAAATCTAACAATAAATTGTCCATTTTCTAAAAACTTAGTTTCATCAACACGATAATTATAATCTTCAGGTAATATGTTCTGTAAATAAAAGCTTACTGTATTAGAACTACATAAGTAATAACAGGGGAGGACTGGCCAATTCACTATTGTTTAATTTCATGGTAGGCCTTTATGGTATCTAGGTCTTAAAAATGTTTAAATATTTAAAACCAGGGCTTTTTAAACTAAAATATGTGGTAGGCCTTTTTTGAGCCAGTCCAACGCTGCATTTCTAGTCAAACATTGAGTAAATAAATAGTAGATACCTGTAAATACTCATTATTGTAGAATGACTGAGTAAGAATATTTTTACCAGAATTTGTTGTTTTTACCTATAGTTTAATAATTATTTTTTTTAATTTAAAATATGATATTATTAGTTGTAATAATATTTAATAACTAATAATAAGTACTTCATTCTCAAAATTGTTCGATTCTTGATTATTATGAATTGTCCGTATATGCCTCAACATATCTTTCCTCTGTCCAAAATGTTTTTCACATAAGTCACACTTCACATTTTTCTTCTGGCATACATTGTCATCAACAATGCCGTGTTTTCCATGTAAATGTCTTTTTAAAGTATGCTTATACTTATATATTGTTTCACAAATAGTACATTTAAAAATCTGAAATAAATGTGATCAAACATTTTTTCATTGTCAAGCAAACACTTAAAAATTTAAATGTTTCATACACAAATTAGATTTATACATTCCAACCAGGTTACTATTGTCCCACAATTCACTATGTAACACAACAACGCCAATTGTATTTGCTTATTTATTTTTGTATACTGAATAGAAGTATTAGGTACAGTAAATAATTATGAAACTTTTATTGAAATAATCAATTAACAATAGAACATTTATTAGTAAATTATTATTATACAAATTATAAGTTTACAAATAAAATTGATTTTGTTCATAGGGCTTGATATAATCAATCACATGAAATAGGGACATTAACATACAAATTAACAATATTTTGATTCACAGTTTAGCATAAAAACGAAGAACACAAAAAAAAATACATTAAAATAAAACATACAATTAATGTCTAACATAAACATTAAACATTATCATGATAAACCTATAGAATGTGCGATACACTTATATAGTATGTGGAGAGAAAACATTACGTTGAAGTTGATTGAAAATTTTGGTCATTGCTTAGGTGACGATAGTTTTTGCTGCAATGAAATCTAATGGCAGTGATGAGCAGTCACTTTATACATGTTATGAATAAAATTCACACTGTGCAAGTTAATTGTTTTTTTAGCTTATTAAGTTAAGATAACATAGAAAAACATAAATGGTCAAAAAATGTATGTTATTAATAGTCTTTAGGACGTACTAACAAAAAAATGTTAAGCATGTAAATAATTACTGTAAAATAATGTCATTCACAAAATCACAAACACTGATATAAATTATAATTACTATAATACTATTCATTATATTTAGACAAGTACCTTGGATTTTAAACCTTCCATGGTTAATTATTAGTTCATTGAAAATTTAACTACTTCGTGTTATTCATTAGCAAACTTGAAATATGTTATCAATATTAACTTGTTATCACTTATCATATATTTGATATCTGATGGTCGGATGGTTGAATGCGCCGTGACATGTTTTAAAATTTCGCCGCCGGGTCATTTCCTTATCGGAGGCTCTCTTAACTGTATACCAGAAGCTGACATATTATCTACTATGTCATCAAATCGACTGCGACGATGGCAAAGAACCGTACAGCTAACACAGCAGATATGGCATCGATGGCGCACCGAATACTTGGCGCAGCTGCAGTGCCGTCAAAAATGGATACAGTCCAAGGGAATAGCTCTAAAGGAGGGATCAATGGTGGTGATTAAGGAGGACAATATGCCTCCACTTCAATGGCGTTTGGGGCGAGTCACACGATTACTAGCGGGCAATGACGGAGTGGCAAGGGTAGCAATGGTGAAGACCGCACGAGGTGAAGTAAAGAGGGCAACTCGAACTTTATGTCTATTACCAACAGACGAGTAAAAAATAAATAAAGAAATATGAAGTAAAATAAACTATTATTAACATGACAGGTATGTTATGAGCTTTTTTTTGAGCATTTAAAAAAAAAAAAAATTTTTTTTGTTTAATGTAATTATTAATTATTATGTATTAATTGCGCAAGCATTAGAATTGTATATGTGTAACACGTTTTGATTAATATGTGTAATGATATATTCATACTATTGTAATTGTAGTAACAGGGCATGTTGTTGTCTGTGTATTATAATTATTATTTATTAGATTATTTAAAGTCTCATATGTTTTGTGATAGATTTTAGCACAGCCTAAAATGTCGGGCGGTATGTTCAGTATTGGCGATCGATAGTGGTCGATCGCCGTTGTCGGCGGCGCAAGATAAGAAAAATAACGAGCTATCGTCTCGATCGGTCAAAAGGCCAGTTATTAGTCTTGGGACAGCTGCGACCGATGCACTGTCTATCGCCAATCTCAAGTGCGTCAGATGAGACCAGTTAATGTCATAACATTAAAATTCAAATGTAGATAATTATAATTGTTAAGTGATTTAGGTATTAGTTAAATCACATCAACAAAAAATTGTTAATACACAAAATATATTTAGTTTTGGTTAAACCTAAATATTAGTGTTTTTGGTTTTTTTTTGTTTTATATTAAAATCTCAAAGTTCTAATTGCCGTGCGCTCGATTAATTGTGATTAAAATCAAATCGATGTACGGCCCGAACAGTCTCATAAAATGGTTTGACAATAAAGGAGTTGTTCTAGGTTCTAATTTTATAACATCTGGTGAACCTGAAACAATCAAGCGTTGGGACAAAAAACATAAACAATTTGTGGATGTTGAAAGACCGGAAGTCATTGGATTATATAATAAGTCAATGGGAGGAGTAGACGTGCATGACCAACTTGTTAGCTTTTACAGAACTTTTATCAAGTCTCGAAAATGGACACTGAGGTTAATTGCTCATGCGTTTGATATGGCTACTGTAAATAGTTGGTTAGAGTATAAGAAACACACTAAACACTGTAATATATTAATTCGAAACACAATGGACCTACTAGCATTCAAAGAACGTTTAGCAAACACCCTAATTTCATTAGGAAGAACAAAAGCATTTATAACTCCTCCAAAGAAAAGAGGCCGGCCTAGTACATCGCCATCTCCAACTCCTGAACCTGAAGTACAACCAGTTAGAAACAAACCAAGATCTGTAGATTCAACTCCATATGAAGAAACCATAAAAGATGGATTAGATCATATGCCTACTTATGACAACAAACTAAATAGTAGTAGATGTAAAAATAGTCCTTGCAAATTCAAAACCAATGTTTATTGTGACAAATGTAATATACATTTATGTTTTGTTCCCGGGCGAGTATGTTATCGTCAAAAACATAGAAAGTAAAAACATATTATTATGTTATTTATTTTAAAATTAGTTTTGTTTTATATTTATATAAAGATATAGGCATCTTTTTTTATAATCATTTATAAAATATTATTTTCAAGAAGAAAATAATAATTGTTATTACTATTTTTATTATTATGCATGAACTAGTCCTTGCATTAATTGTGATAATTTTTATATGTGAAAAATATTACCTACAAAGTTAAAAGTTATGTTATTAACCACCAAGTTATTTTATTTTATTTTTTGTTATGTTATTTTAATTTATTTTTTGTTTTATTTTATTTTAATTTTTTTGTTTTTTATATTTTTAAGTAGAAAATATTTATTATATTATATTAAAAATTGTGATAACGCTATTATTTTATTATTTTTTTAATTTACTTATACAATATATAAAACCAAAAATATTTGATTTTTATTATAATTATGACTGCGTAAGAGCCCAATGTCCTTCACAGAGGACATTCTAATATCTCATTGGTTAATAACTTAAAAAATTTTTAAGTATTTTTTTTAATATATTTATACCCTATTTATCACATATATAGTAAAAAAAAAATTCTCACTTCAAAAATTTAATCCCAGGTCTGAAAGGGTTAAAGCAAATTGTTTTGTTTCTTTAGAATACCTTTGTCCACATTTCGATCTATCTTTGTTCACAATATTATTTTTTACAAGTAAGAAGACTGATGGTGATAAATATTGTTCACACATTTTGATACAATGTTCAACAGTTGTAGTCTGTTCTAGTTGTTTTTCTAGGTTTTTAATTGAACACAGAGCCTTGGATAACCGTTGTTGAAGTACTCGTTTCCTTGGAGTCTTAGCTGTTAACGAGTTTGGAGTTTGAATGCTTATGGAACACGTGTCAACTGATGAACAACTTGAAAATGATGTCGAATGATGAGTAGATGACACTAATAATAAAATGATAGAGAATTCAAATAATAAATGAAGTAAAAGTTATCATATCAAACAATACAATATCCTTGTAATAATCATACCAGGAGTTGAACATCTTGGTGGATCGTCTATTACAACACTTCCAGTTTATGCACTATCATCAAAATATTCAGATGGAACATCAACAAGTGATGTTTCTTCTATTACAACATTGTCATTGACGTCTAAAACAACGAAATATTGTTTTGCAATAAAAATAAAGATTTATTGACCATTAAACTTACTTTTAAATATTGTAGGTATTGCTTTATTTAACAGTCTAGTTTTTTCAACATTTAAATACATTTTATCTTCAAAATGACGTGAACAATGAACATAATCTGTGATTTATATTTAGAACATCAGGGTCAACAGAAGGTAAATTGATTGGACTACAATGTTTAATCCAGACAGCACATCTAGAATTATTACAACTATTGGTAGGTACTAATATAAATTATTTGTAACACATGATAGAATATAAACATCAATGCTTATTAACACATACAATACATAATCACTATTATATAATGACTAAATACAGTAAATAAAGCAACAAGAAAAAGGTGGGTACCTTTTTGGTAATTCTTACCTTGCGTGATCTTTAGGAAATTTATGAAATTTGGTTTCAATTAATTTTCTCCCGAAGAAAATACTGCTGCAATTTGATAAGCAACATGTATGGCCACCCGAGTACATTATGGTAAATCAATTACTATTTTAAATACAAAAATTGTTGTACTCAGTGACAGTCTTCGAAATAAAAACAAAAAGAGCAATGAGTAAAACTGTAATAACTAATTACTTAATTTCGAAGATCAATTCAGTCAGACAACTCATAGGGTACCTAACCATAAATTGTATCGTCGATTATCACTGAAAAATAAAAATATTTACGTTTACAACTATGATAACATCAAAAATGCGTATAATCAGTTTCAGCAGCATAAGAGAATATTGAATTATTTTCTAATAACGGCTACACTGATAGCCCAAACATTTTTCACTGATTTTCGAGTTCTCATTAAGTGATCGTTCTGGTTATTCTGTGGTACGAGAGTCGCTTTCGTGATAGTTTGATAGTCACTATCGATCGATTCGCACCTTAGATCATATACACTGGATAGAGCTATACAATATACATAGATAATATAAGAATGGATAGGACATAAGAACTTATCACATGAAAATTTAGTGATACTATTTTTAAGGTTATATGAGGCGAATATTGATATTATGATAATTGATAAATTGATAAATAATAATAAATTAAATTATATCATTTTATTCTGTTATAAAATATAAGTAATAACTTTAATAATTAAATAATTAGTGATATTTAACAATATTATTCTATATTCTAATTTCTATTTAAAATAACAGTTGACAGTATTAATATTGTTTAGTATTAGTTTGGTAATTAGTGAAATAAATTACTTAATGTAATAGGTATAACATTTTTATTCGTGTCGAAAATGAACTAGTTTAGTCAATTTACTTCTGAGTTTTAATTGATCATTAGCTTTTTTTACTTCGTGAAAAAAACGAATGTTATAATACATAACACATATATTTTGAATTAGTTGATCTCTATGCGTATCAAACTGTTGTGTTTGATCAAATAGCATATGTATGTCATGGTTTACACAATACATGTTATTAAATATTGAATATTTGTTATATAATACTGATTTAAGCTTAACAATAAAAAACTTGATGGATTTTTTTTGATTGGTAAACTCATTGGAATACTGCCTAAATATTTTCTCAGACTCAATACATACTGTCTGTAGGCACTTACTAGGTTTCTTTAAACCACCTCTGTCTTTTATCTCTGCTAGTTTACTTTCATGTGTTGTTGTCGTTGAAGTTAAAGAATTTTTGCAAGTATCACAAGCAATTTTCCTTTCTAACTTCATGGCAACAAACCCTGCAATATATATTGTAACATCTTCAACATAAGAATTCATACGTTCAATTGAGGCAAAATAATCATGGTCATGACTTTCAATAACATCAATTTGTTCTTCTAGATTATCATTTTTCAACATGCTAGTCACTGGTAGTGTTTTTGTACTGTCGAGAATGGTACAATTTCCATGCATTGAACCAACAATTGTGTTATGGACTAATAATCGTTTATAAGCCGCTTGAAACTGGCGGCATGTCGGATTATCATTATAGCCTCCTCGGCTACGCACAGCACTAAAAAATGTCTTCAAATGATCCTGACTAAGTTTGTAAGTAATGAGAAATGTTATGTGAGATTTCGATTGTAATATTTCAAATAACTCTAATGCACTGTGCAAGCCCATGACCATTCCTTTAAAACCCGTCTTCCTTCTTGATTCTACAATTTTTAAACCGTCCAGAAATTCTAAATTGTCTATATAATTAGTAAATTCATTTGTAAATGTTTTAGTAGAAATAGCACTGTTGTAAGGCTTTTTAGAATATAACTTCCTACTGTTCATTATGTCAAATGCATTATTAACCATACTACAAAATTCAGCAGTTGCTTCACATCCTTCAAAATTTGGATCTTCTTTCTTCAAGTAAAGTAAAGCATCACTTACACTTTTACTCAAGACCTGGCTAGCTAAACGAACATTCATTTTCTCATTTTGGTACATTACATGTCTTGAAGTTAGTTTTGTCGCTAATTTTAAGCCTTCTTCTTTCTTCTTCTTCTTTTTCAAACAACTTTTCTATAAACTTCCATTCTATAAATTTTCCATCACCATTTTTCAATATCTTTTTATCACCAAAAGTATTACGAATCAACTTAATCATGTGTGCTTGGTCATGAAAAACAAGAATTTCTTCTAATGTATTTGGATTTTGAATATATGGTGTTTTTGTATTAAGATCAGCACCTAATGAAGTACACATACTTAGATTTACTGAAGCCCCATCGAAGGTTACTGAATGGAGATTTGCTCCAGTTTCAGTAATAAGGTCAATAGCTTTAGCAAGTAGATTTCCTCTTTCTATTCCAGTCAAGCCATCAATTAAAAAATATCCTACAGGTATTTTCCAATACCCATTCATACCTACGACTAGAAAAACTAACGCATTTTTTGCTAGAGGTATTTCATCAGAGTCATAGACTACATTAGTACCCATATTAACATGACCATAAACATTTTGATGAGTGTCAGTTTCTAAATGGCGTTTCACACACATCTCGTCTACAGTTAGATTGCAATAAACACGACCAGCAGCTACTTTTTGTTTTATTGCTTCTAATGCCTCTAATGTAAAACCTGGTTTACCATCTACTACTGTGTACCATCGCCTTAGTGTTCTAGGATGTGGTAAAATATTTGAAAATGATTTTCTTACATAAAGGTATGCCCTGGGTGAATAATATTGTAAAGTTAAGGCAAATTCGCGGATTTCTTTGGGATAAGTAAATTGTTTTCCTGAACGAGCTTTTTTTACAATTGACTCCAAAGTATCTGATCCCATAGCCTATCAACAAAGTGAATACATAACAATTGCTTAAATAATAATTGTGACTTTAAAAATTAATTTCTCATATAGTACATACGCCACTGGTTAATACTCATGGGTGAGTTTATTTAATACAAAGTTAATTCTACTATTTATTTAAATTGGATTAAATCATAAATGATACACTCACAGCATTACAATTAAAGTAACATTTTATTTTCTATTTTCAAAAATAACACAGGAGCTAAAACAATACATTAACTAAGTAATAACAATGAACAATATTAAATTATAATATACAATATACACGTACAAATTTAAATATCAAAACCAATGTACTAACTACAAACACAGACAATGTTCTTATGTTAAAGTTTGCTTAGGGCCTGTTTAACAATCATAGTTTAAACGTTGGTTACGCCTAACCCACTGATTTTACTGGCCGAATTCGGTGGTTTAACCTTAGTTTAACGATTGTAATACGGGCACTTAGTGTTTAATTTACTTCTAATATCCATTACAATTAAAATAACATTTTATTTTCTATTTTCAAAAATAACACAAAAGCTCAATACATTAACTAAATTAGTAATGAC